AATTAAAAGCATGCATGTCCTTTGACCTTTCTTACACACTTAGCATATACAAAATCTTTTATATATTATAGATATTTATAACTTATTCTTCACACAACTCATTTCTTATTCTGTTTCATTTGTTCATTTTCATTTAACATTTTTTTTTTTCATTTCAATTAGTACATTTTTCTTCTTTCAATACTTTTATTTTTATATAAATCATTATTCGTATATATATATTACCTTATATACTTCAGTAATTCATTCATTTTCAAGTTGTTAAATATTTAACATTTAATTATATTATTTATACTATAATAATTCCAGGCAATGATAATTCACTTTTTTTATTTCTATTATTCTCTTCATTAATTTATAAAACATGCAATAATAATAATACTAAAAAGGGAATTGTAATAACATAAATAGAAAATGAAATTAAATAAATAATTACATTAAAATTACCCACTTGATTATTGTTAGATCTTTCCAATTATCAATTCGTTGAATTAGTCCTCACATACTTGTCTTATCTCATCTATAAAAATCTCACTGTTCCAAATAACATTAAATTTCATTAATTATCACTAAATAGTCTACAAATTCAAAGCTAAAATAAATTTGATTTTAGTAACATCCTTAAGAGTAACCTCAAATGCATCATATATTATTATAAAATATCAAAAACTTCTAACTTTTCATATCTTGAACATAATTTACAATCTAATTCTCTGATAATCAAAATTATTACCTCAACTAATGATTCCTTCCTTCCTTTTTGAAATCCCCTTAAAAATTTAGATTCACAACTAAATTTCCTCTATTTCTATTTGGCAATCGCCTATTATTTCATCAATTAGAGAAATAAAAAATAATAATTGTGAATGTAAAATAACAATTTAATTTGCTTACTCTTTCTCCTGTCGTTAGAAATAAGAACTCGTTGATTTATCATTACCCAAATTTTTTTTTTCAATTCCTTCATTTGTCTTCTTTTAAAGCAATTGATATTTTTGCAAGATTAAATCACCAAAGAAATGTGCCTAAAAATGAAATTGGAAAACCTACCTCCTTCCTTCTTCTTCCTCTCATCTGCTTCTCTTGGCTGAAGCTTTCTCACTAGTTTTGTACTTACAAGAGTAAGTGAAATAGAGATATTACTCACAAGGAGTCGTTTGCTTTCACTCTCGTATGTGATCCCTCACTCAAAAATGTAAACTAAACTCTCTAGCCCTGATTCATGCTTGCGCTCGGCCCGCCCAATTCACGATTCAGTTTGTTACCTCTTTGCCCTGTTCGATATTAAGTAAAGCTGGCTATTTCAATTGAACCTGTTGGACTAGTTCTTATAATCTATAATTCTTATAAAAATTTCGTTCTCAAAATTTTAAATCAAGAATAAATAGACACACCTTAATTAAATAATCCTTCATCATTAAATACAAAATCTTCCAACTATCATGCCTACACTTTCTTTATGATTTCTTGAAAATTTGCATCTTCAGACAATGAATTACATATTCTGTCTTTCAAAGTGGATTAAATCATCAGTTGATTTAATAGCATAACTTTTATATCTTTCTAATTAATTACTAAAATTTCTAATCTATCCACATCTCTAATTATCTACTCCCACTGGTTAATCAACCAATGTGCACATTCAAGAGTCTTTCTGCTTAGTACATCTGCAACTTTATTTACCTTTTAAAGATGATATTGTATATCCAAATCATAATATTTAATGAGTTTCAACCATCGTCTCTGCTTTAGATGGAGCCCTTTCTGATTAAATATATATTTAAGACTTTTATGATCATGAAGATCTCACACATGACTCCATATTAATAATGCCTCAAAATTTTAAATGCAAAAACTATAGTTGTTGATTTTAAATCATGGGCGGGATACTGTCCTTCATCATTTAGTCAAAGCATCCGGATTAACAACAATATTAGGCACTAACCTTTCCATATGTTCTTCAGGATCATTTTGAGCCCATAAATAAAATATCTTTATAAAATTCACAAGTTAATCTTAAATTAGCTTTTTAAACTTACATAATCAATATAATAACTTTTTTAGTATAATGCATATCCTAATTGGGCTCTAATACTACTTTGTCACAATCAGGCCCAGAGTCTTGAATTAATGAGGTGGGAATAGTTTGTCGGACGGTTAGTACACTTTATATATATAATTGCACCTATTAGTAAAATCTAGCATTCCTCAAACACTTAAAAGCCACTAACATCGCTTTTACATTCGAACATACATTTGAATAATAACATATATTACCTTCTTTTATTAGATTGTCGTCTTCTACATACGTGTTCCTCAACTCTTTTAGCCATTTCTACTTATCAAAAGACATACATGATTTGAGTGCACATAGTAAACTCAATGGATAATCACAATTTCATATACAACAATTAAGCATATAATTAAAAGCATGTACGTTCTTTGACCTTTTTTACATGGTTAACATATGTATAATCTTGTATGTATTGTAGATCTTTATAACATATTCTTTACATAACCTATTTCTTATTCTATGTCATTTGCCCATTTCTATTTAACATTTATCTATTTTTCATTTCAATTAGTAAATGAGCACCATCTAAACGTATTAATAAAGGTACAATCATTTACATTTTTATTTAATGTGCACGAGTACATTGCTTCCCCAACTCGTACCATACAGAGGTGAACTCTTATAATTTGCATACATGCACATTTTTCTTCTTTTAATACTTTATTTTTGTATAAATCACTATTCATATATACATTACACTATATACCTTAGTAATTCATTCATTTTCAGGTTGTTGCATATGTAACATTTAACTATATTATTTATACTATAATAATTCATATTATCTATACTACAACAATTCCAAGCAATGATAATTCACATTTTTATTTCTATTACTCTCCATTAATTCATATAATATGCAACAATAATAATATTAAAAAGGGAATTGTAATAACATAAATAGAAAATAAAATTAAATAAATAATTGCATTATAATTACCACTTGATTACTATATGATCTTTCCAATCCTCAATTCATTGAATTAGTCCTCCAATACTTGTCTTTCTCAACTATGAAAATCTCACCATTTCAAATAACATTAGATTTCATTAATTATCGTTGAAGAGTTAAAAAATTCAAAACCACGATGAATTTGATTTGACCAGGATCCTTAAGAGTAAGGTCAAATTCATCAGCTATTATTATAAAATGTCAAAAACTTCTTTCATATATTGAACATAATTCAAAATCAAATTATTTGATAATCAAAATTATTACCTCAACTAATTATTCCTTCCTTCCTCGTCGAAATTTAGATTAACCACTAATTTTTCTCTCTTTCTATTTGGCAATCACCTATTATTTCATAAATTAGAAAAATATAAAATAATAATTGTGAATGCAAAAGAAAATTTTAATTCAATTACTCTTTCTTCCGTCGTTGACGAAATAAAACTCGTTGATTCGTCTTTCCCCAAAATTTTTCTTCATTTTCATATTCCTTCCTCTGTCTTCCTTTAAAATAATTGATATTTTCATAGGATTAAATCACCAAAGAAATGTGCCTAATAAATGAAATTGGAAAACCTACCTTCTTCCTTCTTCTTCTTCTCGGCCTCATCTCTTAGCTGAAGTTTTCTCACGCATTTTGCCCTTACGAGAGTGAGTGAAACATAGATATTAGTTACGAGTAGTTCGTTTTCACTCTCGTATGCGGTCCCTCGCTCGAAAATGAAAATCGAACTCTCCAGCCCAAGTTTATGGTCACGCTCGGCCGCCGAATTCGCGATTCCGGCATCCGCCGCTTTGCCATGTTCGGTATTAAGTAAAGCTGGTCAATTCGATTGAACTGGCTAGACTAATTCTTACATGTATCAATACTTGATTTAATTGTTCTTGATAATTATATATATATTTTTTTACTTGTAGATTTGACTCTATTATATTCACATGCTTGATGGTCATCACAATCTCTATGATTGATATTATATTTTTCGGTTTGCATCGTCAAATTCCTCCTAAGTATGATGCACACGCTATTATGGACCACGAGTATCAAGATCATACGATTTTGACAAAATAAAAAAGATTATCCCAATTATAAAATTTTATTATCAATTATAATCGTTCATAATCCTAAATTCTCTTATTTCTACCATTCTCTATGAAATTCCTCATATATGGAATGCATTATGGAGGTGCTTTTAGTTACTTTGATCATGATAATACGTGTTATTGCCTAATGTCATACTTATCAATTTACCAAATGTGATGGAGTTGTATTTTTAAAATATACAAATAGTCATTCATGAAAATTTATATTGAAATATCATAAAAAATTGTATGTATTTGAATTTTTATAGATAAATAACATTCATATTTTACAAGAGAAATTGACCATAATTTTTTTAAAAAAAAAAGATTGCACATATAAACTAAATAATGTAATTAATATTTCCAATTTTTTTGCTTTCATATATATATTTTTGAAAGAATTAAGAAAGAGCGTTCATACTGACACATATAATATATATGGGTGGATAAATTATTCTGTGTGGAGTTCGGACGGAAAGAACCGTCATAACTTTGAGTTTACATACTGTGTACACATAAATATTTGATACACATTGTATATAAATATGTACATAGTGTGTACGCTTATATGTCCGAATAATTTTTCTCATCCGGACTCCGCACAGAATAATTTACCATATGGGTGACTCTAACTAAAAAGTTTTTAGATCTCGTTTGCTTTGGAGTTTTTTTTTTCTTTTCTGTTTAGAAATAAAGAAATTATTTTTTGATCGCTGCTTGGATGAAACACTTCTACAGAAAATCTTTTTAAGAAATTTTATTTTTTTTAGAATTTTAAAAAGTTTTTTTAATATTTAATTATATATTAGAAAACTACATTTTCTTAATTAATATTTTTAAAACTATCTTTTATAAACGAAGAGGAAGAACCAAACAAAAGTCCAACCAGCGTTTTAGCTTTCATGTTATTCTATAATTAATTTCGTCTTGATATGAAATGAGATTCTGAGAATATCATGGGGGTGGTTCAGCTGTTCGACTTGGTCTGAAAGAGAAATCCGTAGAATCTTACAGGAAAGACGAGGATGGAGAGTAGCACAAGGGTCGGAAAATCAGGGTTTCGGCGAGCGCAGACTGTCCGACCGCATCCTGTATCGGCCCGCAGCAGGGTGATCTTCGAGAACAGCTCGTCGACCCGCGACTCGGATCCCAATTACGAGTCACGGGAGTTATTGATTTCCTCGAACTTGGTTGGAACGTGCCCCGACATGTGCCCAGGTTCACAAAATATTATCCATCATCAGGATCTGTTTTGTTTTTTTTTTCTTTGTAGTTTTTGGCCATGCAGAGTGAATGTATGAAGAAGTTGTATTTAGTCCTTTTGGTAATACTTTTTCATATGAAGTCATACTTTCAAATGGATAAATGCAAAGCATTTTGCGGAACAATTAACGGCCTGAAATGAAAAAATCTAAAGTTTGAGGATTCCAAAACAAAGTTCACTATCGTGTTATACACTGCGCGCGGTTTGTTTGCAGGATTCAGATTAATCTGTTATTTATATTCGTTTCAGCAAAGGAAAGGATCCAGCGTGAAAGACTCAGAGACTTGGCGGTGTTTGAGAGGCTTAATGGAAATCCTGTAAAAACTTCTCCCAGCCTTGCTGTAAAAAAGGTAAATTTTTTACTTGAGCATGAATTTTCTTATTCAGCAATCACAAAGAATTTCTTTTAGTAAGAGAAACTCAAGTTTTATAATGTATTTTTATTATGTTTACAATTCCAAAACTGTATATTTTATGCTCATCTCATATATAAATTACTTATCCTGTTTGGCACTATATATTGTTTAGAGGCTTCGTTAATTGTAAATGATTTCTGGTGTAAATTGAGGATATTTTAGGTAAGAAGTAAAAATAATGGCTTCTATCAGTAGCTACATTTGTAATCTTTCATCTGAGTTGAAATTGAAACTAACTTATGATTAAACTGACTCCCATCCAATCACACACCATATTAAGTTGAAGAAGAAAATGACTTCTTATCATACTTGATGAACTCACTTCTTGATGAAACAAGGATTTAAATTAATGATTTTAAAATAGGCATCTTTCATCATACAAATATTCATTGACATATTTACATTTTCATAGAATTAAATCAGTATAGGTACTGGATTCAGAGAGAGATTTGATGAAGAAACAACGAGTTACACAAAGTGAGGGAATCATATAGTGAAAGGGGAGGTGAAGAGGCTTGCTGAGTGGCACGGATGAACTAATTAGAGAAAAACATTGAGAGACAGTGACAAAGTCATCAACTTTGATTCCTGCATACCATGAACTCAAGATTTTGTACAGGTTTCTTACGTTGCTTTTATCTTGTTTTACTATGTGTTTAAAATTTGAGGACAAGGTCGATGAAGGGGTTGGTAATCTTAGGAATTTGCTATGGATTATTTGATTAAATAAATGCATTGGATATGTCAATAGGTCTTTGTGAATCATTGAGTTCATAGATAGTTATGGCCTTATGGACATTTAGTGCTTAATAGGTAGTTTAAGGAGTCCTTCAGTGTCTTATATATATATATATATATACTCCTTTTGTTGTGATAATATTTTTTTCTTTCCAATCCCTAATATTGTAGTTGTTAGTGAGCTCGAGATTGCCATTTGTTGTTGTGATCCTCCTAAGATTGTAACAAATGTTTAATTTTGTGTGTTGGACAAGTGCCAATTTTTTTCTATCCAAAATAAGCATTGGATCATTTTAAAAGTAATAGCGCTTTATGTTAAGTAGTGTATGGATAAAGTGCAAAAATTGTGTATAGTGCAAATTGTTGTGAAGGAGAAGACAAATACTCTATGAAGCACAAGCTTTCACCAAGCGGTTATTTGGTTAGTAGTATTTTGAGTGTATTGCATTTGAGTATAAGAATTTTAAGTTTTTGAGTATTTGATTGTGAGAAAAGTAATTAAAGTAATTTTTTGAAGATCAAAACTCCCATATAAATCTTTTTTGATGTATTATGAAATTGCCTTAATTGGGCAAATTTAGTATAGTGCGTCACGAAGATCTTCGCTTGCAATCTTTGCACTTGCAACATTTATGCATGCATGTCTCGACCTCATTGTGTCCCAACCATTGATGTATTCGCATGTGTCTTGGACCTAGTTATGCGAACTCGCCATAACCGCACCTCATCCTCCATTGCCACTACGCTTTTGTTTGAGGCGACACCGTTGTATCTCAGTCATCTATGACCCCTAATTGCGCCTGCTATATCGTCACCACGACCCTAACTTTGCCTACCTTCATTAATAAGCCCTTGACCATTTTTCTCCTAATTATGTGCCTTTCCTACAAAAATAATTTTAAAGAATTAAAATTTTTGTACACTTTATAACAATCCATATGCCAAAAAAACAATATTATGAATTTTTTTTTTAAAGAACAAAATATCAAGTATTTTAAATGCATTCAGTTTATGTTACACAGAATGTACACTTGAATTCTAAATACTTGCAACCAAACAATGCTTAAGTTAATTATTTATAATATAAATTATTAAATATTGATAATAAGTATCATTAAATGAAAACAAGGTTTTAAAAACCGGATCAGAACATTCAGTCCGACCTTGAATCGATTATTAGGTCGGTTTATAACATAAAAAATATTTATTTTTTAGTTAATGATAATAATAATTTAATTATTTATTCACTATAAAAATATTTTTATCTATTTATTAATGAAAAATTATTTAACATAAATAATTTATAAGCCCATGATTATATTTCTTGCACTAAGCCATCTCGTTTGGTTGTTTGACTTTAGATTAGTTGAGTATCTGGTAAGCTTTGTATACGGTCTTTTAGAAGGGTGCCTTCACTTTCACACTATGTCTAATCGCTAATTAATTAACACGAAATTGCTCTATAACTTACTACTGACTTAATCATAACAAGTTAAATCTTACTGTATATATCATTCAAGCTGGTCGTTTTTTTTCCATAATCGTATAGATTTGCTGTTGCTTGGAAATATTTGTAGTGTTACCTTATCATATTCCTATATACTTATAGTAGACACCACATGTATTTTGTCATCATCATCATCTTCATTGATTGCTGTTAGCTCTTCATATCACCCTGTACTTTCTGACCCCTCAGTCTGCACTAGTTTTGCAGGACTTTGTCTAGCAATGAAGTTCATTCATCAGATCTACGCCCTACTCTAGTATTGCAGAACACACTAAAATATCTTCTCAGCTTAATGGATTCTTCAGAGCATCCATTTGAAGTTGTTCATGATTTTGTATTTGATAGGACAAGGTCTATACGGCAAGATCTGAGCATGCAGAACATCATCAATGAAGAGGCAATAGAAATGTATGAGGAAATGGTATTACTTTTTTCTTTGGCATCTTTCCTCATTCGTGCTTGCAAACTTGCAAACTTAATATGGTTCGTATGTAATTGGACGTGGGGAAATCCTTACAGACCAATTGAACTGCCAATTCGGAGCCCAAGAAGCATGTTTCAGTGCAAGATTGGTGGAAAGTTAATATATGCCCCACTCACCCTCTATATTCTATCATATTTGAGAATCGATTTGGGTTCTGACTTTTGGGCTGAGTACTAGTACTAGTATATTTCAATATTTTAGCAGTGTGAATTTAACTTTTAACCTTTAAAAAGATGGATTTGAAATTTGTTAGAATTCAGCCCAAAAGAAAAACCAAGGTTGAGTATAAATTTTCTTGGTTCGAGCCATAGATGGATTTGAAATTTGTTGAAAATGAAACCATATAGCCATGGACTTTGACTTTGCATGATTTATGATAAGGTTACATTGTTAGAATTTTGAATTATTTTGAGATGAAACTAGAAAGCTTTTGAATAGTGACTTAGAGGTAATGTTGAATGTTATACGTATCAACTTTAGTTTCTTCCTTTCATTATTCACATCATCTTTAAAACATTTAACTTTTACTTTTAGGTAGTAAGAAACTTTAAATTTGTTGAAAGAAAGGCCAGGAAACTTTTGAAGAGTGATATCTTTTGCATGATTTACAGAAGCTTTGGTTGAGTGGAATTTCATGATTCGTGAGAGGTTTTGTGTGGAACTTGTAATATCATCAAGAGACATGATAAATATAATTAAACGGTTAAACCGGTTTTCAAGAAAATTTCAAATTCTTTGCCTATGCTACCTTTTTAAATCCATTTAAATTTAGAATGAAATATTTCATCCAATTTAATTTGAAATTTAAATAAGCTATGAATTATGAAGTTACAAAAAATAAGAGTATATTCTAGGTAACTATTTTAAATTCAAATGGTTTTGAATTTATTCATGAATTTAGTTACCTAAAATATGGAATGCTAATTTAGGCAAGGTTTAATGGCAAGTCGAGTGGGGCCGGCGGTTTAGCCAAGTATGGCCGGTGACTAGGGGTGAGAGAGGGAGGGAATTAAGGAGGCTTTAATGCTTTCTTAATTTTGGGAATTGGATTTAGAATGAATTAAGTCATCCTAATTAATTCAAAATCCAATGGGGGAAAAATTTGAAAACTTTCCTAAAATAGATTTTATAATTTAGGAAATAATTTGAATATCAAATTTGGGGAAATTTGAATTCAAAGACCAACTAAATTATGACAATCCAAAAATAGGAATTATCCAAAGTAGGCAATGGAGGATGGGAGAGGGTGAGGCCGGCGGCTTGAATGGGGTGGGTAAGGGGTCGACGGCAAGGTGGAGATGGAGACGATGTGATGGTGGGTGGAAGGAAACGACTAAGGAGAAGTAAGATTGTGAAGAAAGGTGGGAGATAGGTTAAGTGAAATCAAAGATATGAAATCACGAACCCGGCCATCTCCAAGGTTGGTGGGTGATGCGTCAATCTCCCTCTTCAAGGGATCTCTCTCCGATCTCTTAAGCTCTCTCAAGAACTCAAAGCAAGAAGACAAAATTCTCAAATAATCATTCATTCATTAATTTTCAAAGAGAGCATAGGGGCTATAAATAGCCTCGTACATAAGACTCAAAATAAAAAGACCACAATGCCCTCATGGCTTACATACGACATCCCTTTAAGTAAGGGGTAAAAATGGAAAAACAATTACAACATAAATAATGATAAAAGACAAATAACATAATAAAAGAAATACATGAAATAACTCAAAATACATTGATGCGATCGTGGCCGTAGATCGACGGCCACGCCTCTGATATATGATTCATGCTCTGATGTCCCCATCATTCTCCCGGGGTGGGAGAAAGCTCGACTCCGTCGAGTGTCTCTGATGCTCTCGTAGATCTCCAATGCACCGGGATCAAACTTCTGCAGCGCCTTGCAATCCAGCCATGTATCCTCTGACTTAGGCTTTCCTTTCCACCTGATCAAATACCTCCATCGTCCCCCTTCTCTCGTGGAGATGATGTCATCACTAAGAATAGAATCCACCTTTTCTGCCATGGGTGATTTAGGAATATCTGGGGGTGGGGGTAGGTTTAGGTTCTCACATGGTGGGGTCACACACGGCTGCTGTATGAGTGGATATGGTGTGTTGAAGTCACGATCTTCATATGCAACTAGATCTTTTATGTTAAAGGAGGGATTGGAGTTGAATTTTGTGGGCAGAACTATTACATAAGAATTATCATGAAATTTCTTAGTTATTTTGAACAGTCCAGCACTCTTAACATACAGCTCCTTAATTGTTCCCTGCAAGAACCGTTCCCTGCGTGAACTGTTACGGACGAATCCATGCCATCACGGAGTCACCAACCTCAAAAGTTTTAAATTTTCGTTTCAGATCGGCATATAGTTTGTAATCGTTGTTGCCCTTATGAATTTGTCGTGCAATTCCTTTATAAAACCCATGCATATTAGATGAAAATGATGATGCAGACTAAAAAAACCTATACTTAGAACACATGGGCATAAGGTCTAGTGGCGGTCTAGGTTTGAACCCATAAACAAGTTTAGAAGGATTTAAACCAAGGGTACAAGTCACCGAATCATGGTCGTCGAGTCTAACTGGTATGCGATCGGATAGGGAGGCTCTAGGGGCTAGATCTAGAACATATGAAATGCCTCTAATAAATAGCCAGGGACGACTTAGAGGGATTTGTCCAACACTCATAATCAACACATCACACCAAACATTCTCCTTATAGTCAGCGAAGGAGATAGGTATGAAGCTACGTTCCTTTACCTCCGAGGCAGTGGTGTTGACCCAAGCTACCTTATAGGGGTTGGGGTGGGGAACGGCAGACTGGCCAAGCTTAGACACCATGCTGGAGGAGACAACATTGATGCAGCTGCCACTATCCACGACGACTTTACAGTTCTTATCCTTGATTTTAGTGTAGGTGTGAAAGATCATAGTCTTACGCCAGTCGTCGGTGGTAACGGGTTGTGACAGTGCACATCTCACCACGCAGGTGGGAGAAGTGTCAATTTTTTGGATGTATTGGATGACAGCAGTGTCGTCATCCTCCTCAAAGAATTCACCATCATTGTCCACTTGGTGAATCAGGTCGATTTTGGGATTGAATTCCGCTTGAGTGATCTCCTCGATTATCGTGACTTTATAGGGACTAGAGTATATTCTAGATAACTATTTTAAATTCAAATGAATTTGAGTATATTCTAGGTATATTCTTAATCCAATTTAAAATAGTTACCTAGAATATACTCTTAATTTTGGTAACTTCCTAATTCATAGCTTATTTAAATTTCAAATTAAATTGGATGAAATCTTTCATTCCAAATTTAATTTCTTAATTTAATAAAGCATTGAATGCCTTCACAATTCCCTCCTCATACTCCCTATGCCGCCGGCTCCATAGAGATTTCCTTTGAAATTGTTTCCTGAAATCACTACACCCCTTTTGGAAACAATTCAAAACTCCTCCTTTTCTTTTGGCTGAAATTCCTCTTGTTCTCTTCCAAAATCACTCCTCCCAAGTGGGAATTAAATCTCAAGTTCTCCTCCTCTGCTGGCCGAAAATCCCCAAGGCTTTGGTGTTGTTTTTCCTCCACAAATCCCTCCCAAACTCTATCCCACGTTGAACTTCCTGCTCCCTAATGCTGCTGCCAGAAAATTCCTGCAATAGTTCTTGGATTCTCCTCAGCCAGAGGTTTCAAAACTACTGCCTTGAGAGGACAGCTTGCTGTCCAATAGTTCCTGCCGGCTTCTTTCACCGTAGCACCATGGGGGAAGGTTCTCCTTACTGTCCAGCACTTCCCAACGTCAAAACAGCGACTTCTCGCATGGATGGCTGACCCGGAAACAGAATACGGCTTCTCCTACGACAAACTTCTTCAACATTTCGACTACTTGTTTCCGGACTTTGACTAAGGTGAACTTATCCCCCTCTTCAATTAGCTTTCTAATCCCCTAATCTTGTAGGTGATGACGAATCACAAAGAGCCGAGTTTCGCCTTATGCCTAAGCTTAGTAAACATAGGATTGAGTGCACTTTCTATGCTTCTAATCTAATTGTTAGAATAGGGATTTTGTTGAAAGCTATTTACCATGCATGTTATTAAATTTCTAACTTGTTTTGATTCTCCAAGTGCTTGGCATGTGGCTTAGCCTAAACGTAGGCACCCCTCTTTTGTTTTTTATTGTCGTTTTGATTGCTAATAGTTTTAATCTTACGTGCTTATTAAAGAAATCGTGCAATTCTTAACGCATCCATTTAATAAACATTTTAGTCCTGCATCAGAAATATTATATCTTTATTTTCCTATTCGTAACTTGCAGTAATATAGTTTTAGTTGAAGGTCCTTTGACTGAACTTGCTTTTTAAATTACTATAATATTTACTACATCTATCACGTGTTCGCAGGTCAAATTTCATATTATATCCCACCAGAAGCTTGCAAAACGTCGTAGTGGGCCAGATGATTCTTCTTCCTTGCATTATCTTAACATGGAGCAGCTTACAAAATGCCTTCTGTCACTCTATGAAGTTTATGATATTAATAGAAGGCTACAATTCATAAACAAGCATGAAATGGAGTTTCATTCATTTTATATACTCCTTCATATTGGTTATAAGATCCCAATAATGGTTAATCCCTGGCTTAGCAAATTCTGCTGTGAAGAAAACTTTCATGATACCTTTATGGTTGATTTCATTAAGTGAATGTCTGATATTAGCCATACAATTATGTGCAGAAGGATTCACTTTCTTTATGGTTTCGCCATCTATCTTCCCCAATTCTCCACTCCAAAGAAATGCGTTTTGCTAGGACTTTATTAAGGTACTTCTCAGTGCATTCATATTATATCAGGACCCTGCAGTATGATTTTTATCAAGCTTTTTATGTGATGAAACCTGCAGGGTGAGATTGTATTTCTTGTTCCTTTGTAAGTTAGACCGTAATGCAAATACAAATGACATCTGATCATCATCATTATAGTTGTCCTCTTCATCCTTTGCCTTATCCCAAATTTTTTGTGCAGTCCTTTGGAATCCTCTCTTTACCATTCATGCTTAGTGTTGCATGTGGCCTTTACTCCCATTTTGTACAAATCTTTTTTGCATAATTTTTAGCCATTTTATTTTTGGTATGGTATATACCTTTTCCTTCATATTCCTTTCACCCTAATTCTATATCCGTACTTATTGATGCATCTTTATTTTCTATTGTACATGTCTACATCGTGCTAGATTTTTTATCTTTTTCTGTAATATAGTCTCTTATATGTGTCACTCCTGTAATTTCTCTATATTTATTATTTCGCTCTTTTTCCTTAGGTTATCACCCACTCATGTTAAATCATTTATGCCAAAATCAACTATATTCTGGGTCGCTCATTCCTTCAATCACGTTTACTTAAGTTAATTCCTCTCTCTCTCTCTCTCTCTCTCTCTCCCCCCCCCCCCCCCCCCCCCCCCCCCCCCCCCTCTATATTTATTATTTCTTTTTTTTTAGCTTATCACCCACTCATTTTAAATCATGTATTGGCACAATCAACTTTGTTCTGGGTCTCATTCCTTCAATCACCCACTCATTTTTTTTCTTAGCAATGATAGAGAAAGATATAAACATCAACTCCTGTAAACGTTTTATATTTCTGAGAACTCTCACTTCTACTTACGCCAGGTACTTTCGGATGGGGGATTATAAACGCTTCTTTGGTATTTTAAAAACGGAAGCATCCCAACTGCAGTTGTGCCTTATAGAACCCTTCCTCAATGAGGTTATCTTTGAAAATTTTCTCAGTTTGTCTCTGCTCATGTAGATGGTTCAACTGAACGTATGTTTTCAACAGGGCACTTTAAAGCATGCTTCTATTGCTACTTACATTTTGATCACATGTTTTAAATGTATTCATGTTTATTATTGATATTGCGTATGTTATTTAATTTCCTTAGTACCTGGTGCAATTTATCTTTGGTGTCGAAGTGAGTATTATTTAGTATATATACATATATACAAGTTGTCAGCGCTTTAGTTAACAAAAGTGTTACTTTGTTTTTGCTCTTTGTGCGTTGAAGCAAAAAATGGTTCCTTCACTTAGCATTGCGCTTTGTAAATACTGTTTGAAAGACATATCTACTCACATCATACATCAGACCATAAATAAAAATTTATATGACAAATGATATCAGAGCTGCAGTGCTTCACAAAAATTATAATCAACATTTAAGATTCTTTAGACCAACCTAAATAAATTTAAATATTTTAAAAAGCATCCAAGTTCTTTTCATTTTTTCTTGCCCATCCTAAATTTTCTTATAATTTTTGGACCTCGTGTTTGCAATCAATGCAAAATTGTCTTAATTTCTTTGTTTTGGATTAGTTGATTAAGCTGAACTTAGTTGACTAATTGTGAGCTCTACCACTCCTTGAAGGCTCGTGTGCAAGCAATATCATGCATTAATCACAGTGGTTACAAGCTTCAACCTTATCCTTTAGAACATCTGTCTGAAGTGCTGATGATCAAGGTATTGATTACCCCTTGATGTTATCTTTAGCGTGATTCTTTTTAATATCTTATTTCTAACTTAAATTGGCTAGACACTGCCTAGTGTTTTGTGCATGATGACATATGGCATTTGCTGTGCTGGTGAATTGATGTTAGACAACTGACTTTTTCAGGAGCAGGAGCTTGAGTCCTTGTGTTTTGAATGTGGCTTGGAAGTAATCACAGATGAGTTAGGGTGCAAGCTCTTACCCGTCAAACAATCTAGTTTTCATCATCCTAAATCGGACTTAGAAAGCTATGGCCTTACAAGTTCCGATAAGTTTCACAGGTACCGATCCCTTATGGATTCACAGTTGCTTATGTTTCAAGTTTATGGCACCACTTTTCTTTGAGCCTTTTCATGGTGGTGTGAATTTTTTGGTTTTAAGTTGCATTCAGAACTTGGAAATGGTACCATTGAAAGAGATGCAATTTGATAGATTGATAGATTCTTTGGCCACTTTGGTCGTTTGGCACAAAATAACTTTTAACTACTTACAAGATCCTAATTGCTCTTATTAATGACTTGATCGCCCAAAGTCACAATCCCCTCACTAGTTCTATTGCTACTAAAATTACACTCTATATATTCAGTTTTAGATCTACTCAAGCGAAAACCTTTAGCATCTAAAGTTGATCTCCATAATTCAAGTTTACCTTCAACTCCCTCTCTAGTCTTATCAACAAGAAGAATATCATCAGCAAAAAGCATACACTAAGATACATCATCTTGCAAATGTCTAGTGAGAACATCCATGACTAAAGCAAAAAGATATGGAATTAAGGCTGATTCTTGATGTAATCCAACCGAAATAAGAAAATACTTGGTCAAACCACCTTGTGTTTGAACACAAGTAATAGCTCATGCATACATATCTTTAATGATTTGAATATAAGCATTATTAACTCCTTTCTTTTCAAGAACTCTCCATAACACTTCTCTTGGAACTTTATCGTATGCTTTCTCTAAATCAATAAATATCATGTGTAGAACTTCCTTATTCTCTCTATATTTCTCCATCAAACCTCTCAATAAACGTATGGCTTCCATAGTAGACCTACCCGGCATGAATACAAATTGATTTTGAGAAACATTAGATCAGGCCGCAACCTACGCTCAATAACTTGCTCCCATAGTTTTAAAGTATGATACATTAACTTAATTCCTCTATAATTCGCACACTCATGTGCATCACTTTATTCTTAAAAATAGGAAGTAACACACTCATTCTCTACTGATCTGACATCTTTTTAGTCTTCAAAATAGTATTAAAAAATTTAGTAAGCCAAGAAATTCCTTCATCTCTTAAGCATTTCCACATATCTATTGGAATATCATCATGTTCAACAGCTTTTCCACACTTCATTTTCTTTAAATCCTCTCTAACTTTGTGGTTTTACTTATATGCCGATAAAAATAAAAATCTTTTTTTTTTATTTAGGGTGATAAAGTCACTAAAGTCAATCATATTTTCAAATTATTTATTAAAAAGTTTAGCAAAATATCTCATCCACCTTTGTTGAATATCGTCTTCTAAGAAAAGTACTTTTTGATCTTCATCCTTAATACACTTCACTTGAACTAAATCCTTAGTACTCCTATCTCTTTACTTGACTAACTTATACATATATCTTTCTCACTCCTTAGTATCTAATATATTATATAAATCATTAAAAGCTAAGATTTTTGCATCGCAAATATCTTTCTTAGATTCCTTACGAGCCTTTTTATAGCTTTTCCAATTATCAAAATTTTTACATCTAAACTAATTTTTATAAGAATTTCTCTTATTTTTTATCTTTTCTTGCACATTTGGATTCCACCACCAATTATTTTTACTATTAGGAGCTTTTCCCTTCGAAACTGCAAGCATATCTTTTGCAATATCTTAATATCACAAGTCACCTTTTTTCACATAATATTGGCATTCTCATGCATAGAAAAAATCTTAAGATCTAAAATCTTACTCTAAAAAAATACTTTTGTTAATATTCTTTAAATGCCCCATCTAATCCTAGAAAATTATTTTACCTTTTTTTTAAACTCATTTTTCTTAAAGTCTAAAACTAAAAATCGATGTTGGGTATAGAAATTTTCACTCGGAATAACTTTACAATGTAATCTAAACGATCTAATTTTCTTATAAGAAAATAATCAATCTATGTTTTAATATATCCATTTTTATAAGTGATAAGATGCTCATCTTTTTTCTTAAATAATGTATTAGCCATTAAGAAATCATAAGCTAAAAATAATTTAATATAGTCTTACCCCCTTTATTTGTCGTTCCAAACTCATGGCCACCATGGATGTTTTTAAAATCATCTACCTCTCTACCAACATGTCCATTTAAATCTCCTTCAATAAAAACTTTCTTCAAGATGTATATTTTATATTAATTCTTCTAAGTCATTCCAAAATTTTAATTTTAAACTCATATCCAAAACTACTTGAGGAGCATAAACACTTATATTATTAACAATTTTAGCATCAACAATAAACTTTAAAGTTATAATTCTATCTCCAATTTTGTTAATTTTTATAACATTATCTTTCAAACTCTTATCTATAATCACACAAATACCATTTCTAATACGACTCCTACCCGAATACCATAGTTTATATCCTAAACTATTAATCTCTTTAGCTTTCTGTCCAATCTTTTTAGTTTCCTGAATGCACAAAATATTTATATTCCTGTGAATCATAATATCTATTAATTCCATTAATTTTTCTGTAAAGGAACCTATATTCCAAGTTCCTGCCCTAATTTTAGTTTTACTGAGAGCTTAAGGTAGAAGGAATTAGTGTCGGGTGGTGGGGTGTGTAACTACTTAAAGCTATCTTAATAGACAACTACTAGCTAAAATAGGATAAATTTCTTTTAAGTTAATACACACAACCTCCTAAGGGGAGCAAAAAATCCAAGCCTGGGCCACCTCTAATAGAGGTTGTATGACTCGCTATTCAGACAACTTTTAAACTGGTTCGTAAGACCTAACCCAAATCTAAACTAAGGGCAACTTCTAAGCGGAGCTGCAAGTCCCAACCCAAACCAAATCAACATATATCTAAGAGGAGGCAACCCACGGCTGCTAATCAGAGTTCCTGGATGCTAAAATCAATGCTTGTTAGTATTGGTAGACTGAAACCTACAATATACCAGGGATGATGGAACTATGAGATCTTGATCGGGTGTACCTTCATCCCCCACAACTAAAACTAGAACACTTGCATAATTATGCACTTCTTGCACATCTAAATATACTTTCATCATTAATCAAGGTGCTTTTCAACACATTAGAATGGGTAATTAATTATGAGAGCTTGTACTCATAGGAAGTGGAACCTTAGAACTAAATAAACCTTGATGCTAATCATTATTGGAAATCTGGTTAAATTAAAATCCAATCTACTTAGGAAAAAATGGGACCTTAGGCTTGCGAAAGTGGGGTTCATGCGTTAGTGCAACATTTCCACTTTCTTGAGGGTGAACACTCCCGCTTGCGCGTGGCCAGTTTAGTTCATCCGCTCGGCTCTCCTGCTAGTCCAGTTATGCTCGCCTGCTTCAGCATGAGGTTCGGTTCGGCTGAATCGAACCACCCGGTTCTTACACAAACATAAGTTGTCTTATGAAATTTTGACCCGGAACATATCTTAAAACTGCCCCAAGCTAGCATAGAGGATACAGTGTTAATTTTTAGAGCCCACGTTGAGCTCAAGCTACCTCACAAGTCATCTCGGCTCATTTATGTGGATGAGCACAAGCTAAAGAAGACACGGGTGTGATATAGGGAACATGAAGAGTTGGTTTGGCTTTGATACCCATTGATATAGATGTGAGCAGCAAGAGGGATCGGGCACTATGAAAGTAGCCCCAAGAGAGGAGCAAATGCCAAACAGAATAGTAGCCGGAGTCCTCCCGTGTATGAGATTTGGGAAATATCTTTGGTTCAATTCATTCAACAATGATCAATAACAAATCTTAAAGTTTAAATATGTGTATAAGAAGTGTCAGATTCTACCCAAGACAAGACCAATTATTTGAATTAAAATATAACGCTGTCTAATCTATTTGTAATCCTAATAATTCAAATATGCAATTATCTAAAAATATTTTAAAAAAAAGTAAATAAACAATCTTACATCCTAATTTAAATTAAGTAAATTTTAAAATTCTGAAAATAAATTTAAGCCTAATTCATTGTACTGCATTACACATTCTTTGCCTGCAAGGCCACAAGAATCATGCCACCTGATTAGGAGGAGCTCTATTTGTCGTACCTACGATGCAGGCCTCATTAAATTTACTTGGATTGTGCTGCACTTCAAACTTAGAGTAAGCTTTCGTTAAAATGGACATTCTTATCTTTTGGCTTCTATATCTAAAAGGACATTCTTGCTAAAATGTTGAGATCGTATATTGCAATATAGCTTTTGTTTGATATAGTTTTCTTACTCATTTTTAAAGCAGTTTTTTAATTAAAAAATTTTTTGTATTAAAAAACTACTTTAAAAAACATTATTGTAATAAAGTTGCCCCAAATAAAGTCATAGTCTTCATCATTGCTACGAAATATTTGTTGAAATTAAGATTTTATTTGGGACAGTTTTCTTATTTTATTTTTTAGTTTTTTGAACTAAAAAATTGTTTTAAGAAACAGTAAGAAAGCTGCTCCAAATGAAGCCTAAATCTTCTCTACTGAATGTTGAAAGATTAATAGCCTAAAGTCCTAGCAACTTTATAAAGTTTTTGGTTAATAATTATACCTCTAATTTTTGTAAATTTATCTCTTATTGTTTAAGTCCATCATAACTAACATTTTTCACCCATATCTTGCAGTTCGCTGCCAAGGCCGGACTCAAGCAGTAATTTGCAGGTAAATTCATCTCATGGTGGCAAAGCTTTCTTTTAGGACAATGCCAAAGGCTTGAAAAACTCAAGATGATGATTCTGAACTTATGATGTGTCCTGTAAACAAAAACCCAAATGCTTCCACCGTGCTAAAAATTGGAGAAAATATTATTGTTAATCAATTAAAATTTATATTTAAGTTTTGTTTGAGACTATTTTCTTATTATTTTTAAAAATAAAATTTTAATACATTTTTTTTTAAATTAAAAATTTTTATCCTAAAAAGATGCTTTAGAAAACAGTAACAAAACTGAATCACTAAATCCATCTCAACAAAAATCTGATTATTAGAAATTTCATAATGATCAGCTTCCAGTAAGAATGTATCTGGGGCTTATCATTTGAGCACAATTAGTTTATATTGAAGGCTGGAACTTCAATAAGCCTGCTGAGCTCTTGTATTGTTCTCCTTATTCAAGGGAAGCTAATTATTTGTGAATAAATAGAACGAACAATTATGCATTTATTTTATAGGATTACTGTTTCCATAGTTTTGAATAATTCAGTTGATGCTTATTTCTCAAACTGCTTAAGAGTTATGGATGGCTTTTTATGGCCTGCAACGCTTCAGAATCAGCTGTTTTTAAGTAGTTATTCATTAAAGATAAAGCTTCGTTTGGGAAGGCTTTTTTGATTACTTCTTAAAACAGTTTTTCAATAAAAAATTAAAATTTTTATACTATAAAGTTGCTTTAAGAAGCAACAAAAAAATTCTCCCAAACGAAATCTAAATATTTTTCTTGTTGAGTTCGCTTCAGTTTGTTTTGCGGCTCTGTGAATGTTAAGAAGCAAACTTGCTGATGACTTATTTGATTGCTTGAATTTTTATTTTTGGATTTTTGGGTCAATTATGTCAAACTAACATGCATAAATTTCGAACTCAAGACCTGATTGATAGCAGTAGCTAAAATTTTTAATCAACAGATCATAGCTCAATCAAGATGAGCTATGGGATTGCTTGAAATTTAATTTAGTTTTTATGACTAATCATTTAATTGGATGGATAGATACCAACATTGATTTCAAAGTTTAAACATTCTCTAATCTAGTATATATATTATATTTGGGATAGTTTTTAATCATTATTTTTAATAAATTTTTGTATTAAAAATTATTTTATAAAGTAATAAAAAAAGTTTAAAAAGAAAAAAATTTCTTTCAATAAGAAAAATTTAACATGCATTTATGAAACTTAGTAGATCAACAAGCATTGTAGCAAATAAAATGATACGATTCTTTTTAAAATAATGATTTTATTCGCATTGTAAGTATATGAAAATAAGATCATCAGATTTATGTGAGCTTCAAAAAAATTGAATAATGAGCTAAAATTTCAATTAAATCTATGATAAGGTTTAATCTAGCTTAACATTTGAATTGATTTGTAATTAAGGACAAGCTAAACTTTAGCCAAATTGACTTGCAAGCTAAAATTTTTAGCTCATTTTAATCTTTTACCGTTGATCATTAAACAAAATAAAAATAGAGCCTATGCTCATTCATGACATAGATCATATTTGCAATCTTAAAAATTAGTTATTTTTTGCGGCGGCAACGACCACCACACCTACGAGTAGCAATGATGATGTACAAAATAATAATGACAACGATTATCAACCGATATTGATGGTCGCGATCACTAGCGATAGCATGATTGTTTTTTAAAAATACTTAAAAATCTAAAAATTATATTGAATGTCATTAAAAAATAACATAATTTATTTTAAAAATATACTAAACAAAACTAAATAAAAAATAAAAAAAAAATTAAAGTTTATCCCCAACAAACCCTAAATTAACATGAAAACAATCAATCTTAGCAAGAGAATAAGAAATTTAAAAATACAAAAGCAAAATGCCAAGGTACAACACCAAAACATTTATGTGATCCAACATCTAACTCAACTTACATCCACATCTAGCTATCGCCCCATATAGGATTCTCAAACATACAAAGTATGCCTTATGCCTTCCCAACATGTTAAAGTTTTGTTTGAGATAATTTCTTTACTGCTTCTTAAAACAGCTTTTCAGTACAAAATTAAAATTTTATATTAAAAAGTTGTTTTAATAAGAAGCAGTAAGAAAGTCATCCATAACGAAGCCTAATAATAGCTGCTAAGCTTTGTTTGAGACTACTTTATTATTATTTTTTAATAAAAAAATTTCTTGAATTAGAAAATTTTATATTAAAAATTTGCTTTAAAAACAATTAAAAAAAATGTCCCCAATGAGACCTTAGATTGCAATCAACAACAATAATGATTAAATGAGCAGATTCATAAGCTTCTAGTAATTGAAACTTATGCACTTAAAATAAAATTAAAAACAAAAAGCTAATTTACAGTAGTATCAAACAACTTGCAATAATTGTTTCCTTTGTTACGTATATAATGTTTAAGTAAGTTACTTGCAGAGAACACTTTGAGACTATACTGTAAGAGCATCCATAAGGAAGAAGATCATACTTTCATACAAAACTTTGCATAAATATCTGACAACATAATATGCCCCTTCTTCTCCACGATACTGACTATTATTACAGGTGCACAACATTCTCAAGCAACTCCCAAAATATAATAATCATGGCGAAACCAATGACAATGGTGAGTGTAATTTTCCCTCCAGGAACCAATGGTGGAACCATTGAGGAAGCTGAGGAACTTGAGTACCTCTCTGACCAAGACATGGCACCAGGAAGAACACCAAATAGCACAAGAACTGCCACAAAATCGAAAAAAAGTAGCAGCTAGAAGATTCTAAAGCACTAGTTATCAAGTTCATTTAGGCTTCATTTGGGACTGTTTTTTTACAACTTTAAGCAACTTTTGAGTACAAAAATTAAATTTTTATTTTTATATAAAAAAGTTGCTTTAAGAAGCGGGAAGAAAGCCGTCCCAAATGAGCCTTAGTTTGTTTTTGGTGCTAAATGGTTGAGTTTTGAATGACTAAATTGACTGTGATTGTTGAAGTATTCCTACCTCCATAAGTCCCTGCGAAGTCCAAGGCTTTGAAAAATATTTCTGGATCAAGCAATGATAAAATGAGAGGTGGCAACAAAGTCAGCAAGTATGGCAACGGCTTGTTCTGCCCAGCTGGTAGCTTAAGCACTGCAAATAACTCGAAGAAACTTAAGAAATGTCTTGCACATAACATTAGATGCAGAGTTTGTTTGGTTATTACCCTTTTTTAGATAATATTGATATTAAGGCTTTGTTAGGACGGCTTTCTTTCTATTTCTTAAAAAATTATAAAAAAAACTGTTTTAAAAAGCAGAAAGAAAACCATTTCAAACGAAGCCTAAGAGAGCATTGATATCTATCACTTTTTTGATGAAATTGCCCTCAAAGAGACATTGTTATTTTGATACCAATATTAGCTCATAGATATAGTGTGCTTGGTTAAATTTACTTACAGAATGTAATGCTATTTAGAATAATAAAAAATGATTATTATCTTTAGGTCATCGAGATGATGGCACTATAGATAGCATCCAAAGTAGTTATTATTTTGATTACTTAATCTTGCCTAAAGATCAAAGCCTTTAACATAACAACAACAACAACAATAACATCAAGCTTTTATCCCACTACATGGGGTTGGCTACATGAATTTTTTTTCTCCATTTTATCCAGTTAAGAGTCAAATTCTCATTTAGATCTAATAAAGAAATGTCGTTTCTAATACTTTCTAACCAAGTCTTTTTAGGTCTTCCTCTACCCTTCTTAACATAGGTTAAATCTAATACATTTACTCTCCTACCCAAGTCATCAGAAGGCCACCGTTTCATGTGACCAAACTATCTAAGGCGACTCTCTCTAATCTTATCAGCCATTGGAGCTACTACAACCTTTTCACATATATGCTCATTTCGTATCCCGTCTCTCTAATCTTATCAAAGCCTTTAACATAACATTCAAAAATAAAAATATGGGTGTATTTATCGAACTTTGATGCTACATCAATCTCTACCAATATTTTTGACACAATTGTTTTCACCGATGACAAAGAAAAGCAAGAGGAACAAATAGGGGGAAAGTACTTCATAGCACCACAAAAACACAGAAAACACTTACAGTCAGCAATGAAGTCTGTAAGCCCCAGAACAAATCCGATATAAGATGTGGCTATGGCAAGAAATGAGAACACCTCCACAATTGGCTACATTGCATTCATCGCATGAAGATTGATTAACTTAGAATGTTTAGCTCTTCACAGTAGCAGCCATAAATTTAAAGCAGTTTTAGGAAGTTTTCAGTTGTACAGGCGAGTGAATTACCCCAACCATCCCATTATTTGACCGCAGCTGCTCGAGGGGGTCAATGATATTTGCAGTGTTCATCTCAAAATTTGGAAGAACGCCAAGTATTACAGCATCCCAGATAATGAACAAAGCAAGGGGAACAGCTGTCCCGAAGACAATAGCAGACCTATGATATATAAAAAAATAAAAACAATAAATAAAAATAAAAAAGTAATATATATATATATATATAGTTAGTGAACAATGGTTGGATGGCATTGTTGGAAAGGCAGCATGGAATGGCATTTATACAATGCTATGGATATCATAATGTGCAACATTATGGTTCAAATGCAAAGAAACTTTGCAAGATATTTTGATATCAACTTAGGCTGGGAAATAGAAAACGGTCACAAATCCAGAAGAAACAAGCTACAAGGTAAATTGTAGGTATAAAAGACAAATTTCTTTTGTCATTTAGATGGGCATGCATGTATATATGTATGGTTGTGTGAATTGTAATTATGACTGTTAAATAACCAACGCATTACAAGCTTGTTTGATGCCATTTCCAATTTGTGGCATAGTTTGAGGCTTTGGTCATATTGGTAACCTTGCTACAAAACAGATTGACCAGATAGAAAAAATCAATAAAAATGAGAACTTTGCAACAATACCAATGCAAGCTTTATGATTTGCTACAACTACATGTATTGGAATATTAGCTGGTTCTTGTTTATTACAGGTTCAGCTAATATCCATTCAAAGATTACCAAGCCCTTCCAGAAGTTTTGAAATTTTTCGCCATGCTGACTAGTAGTATGAGGTTGTTTAGTACCATACTACCATTATTAATTTCCTTCTTGTTGCATGCCAGAATATTTGTGGCGGTGGAGATACATGGAGAATTTAATGTTATAGTTTTGCACAAAAATCCAATACATAAATAAGAGAGGTGCAAATATTGTAAGAGAACCCATATTTTTTATGCGAGAAACTAAAAAAAAGAGAAAAATTACCGGGCCTGACTCAGTTGAAATGATTCCATTAGTATTTTTTATTGAATACAAACAATGCCTTTTCTTGAGGGAAGAACTTGTGTTGGAAGAGCTATTTGGCAGAAAATCATCATAAATGGAGTTAGAAGTCAGGATTGATGTCCACGGCATGCATCGATCCTATAAGTGATAATGTATGTTGGCCTTATTAGCAATGGTAGGTGATGAAGCCAGTAGGTGTTGGAGTAGTCAGGTGATAATAGATAAAAGAGATTATAGGTCAGAAAACCATAGTTAGTGGGTGACGGTGACCGAAGGACCGTAGTCGGCGGGGTGACGGGAATGATCATAATAAGGCGACGAAGGACGGAAGAATGTACTCAGGGAGGGGGGTGTACTCAGCGGACGACGGTGGTCGGAAGGACCATAGTCAGGCGACGACGGTCATAAAATTGCAGTCGGCGAGTGACGGAGGTAGGAAGGATCATAGTCAGGCGACGATGGTTGGAGAAATGTAGTCAATCGACGGTGGTCGAAGGCTGTAGTCGGTGGGTGAAGGAGGTCCAATGACTGTAGTCAGTGAGTGATGGAGGTTGGAGGACCGTAGTCGGTAGGTGACAGAGGTACGAAGGACTAATTTGGCGGGCGATGAAGGTCGGAAAGACCATGGTGGTCAGTTGGTGAAGGCCCGACCGTGATGCTCTAGGATCCTTAGAGTCTAAGAGCTCTCTTGAATTTCAAGAGAGAGAGTTTAGGTTTCAGCTCCAAGCTCTCCCCCTCGTCATATAGATATTGTGGGCCTATTTATAGGAATTTTTAGAGGCATGCCCGTAAATATAGAGAGAATATAGAACACTCCATCAGATGTCCCATATTGATTCTCTTAATCATCAAGCATTTGTTCAACATTTATGTGCCTTAATTAGGTAGAAATTAAGAGATCTTGGGCTCGTTGGATTTTTCACGCCGAGCTGGCTTGATTCAACTATAAGCATGCCAAATTTAGAGGTCATTTAGTCATCCTCCTAATGTCCTAAAGCTTTCAATTACACTTCAAGCTCTTGATTTGGGCTCAAATTGAACCATTTTTTTGTGTCATTTGGTTCGTCTTGTCGAGACGTTCAGTTTGACTATAAGTTTGTTGAAATTGAAGTTTGGATGATCCTGAATTTAACTTTGGAACTTTATATTTCAAATATGCCTTTAGATTCGTGTTTGATCAAGACGATTTTCGATGATGTATCACTTCTAATATATGCCTTTATCAGAACCACAATGGCACACTGGGATTCTAAGTGCATTCATACAAATGTTTATCATCATTATTCATTAGACTTATCCAAATTATTTGGGGACTACTTTATGATTCTACTTACATAATTTTGCGGTACAAATATAACTGTATTCTCTCCTAAAAACCAAACAAGTTATTGTCTTATTGACCTACCAAGATGAAATGCAAATATTAGCTCCTACATAAACTTTAAGGAAATAAGAACCATTTCAAAATATTTTGTCCTTGAAATTTTAAAGCTCTTTCTCATCTCAGATTTAGAAACCACCATTCCACTAGATATTGCGTTTCACGGACACATTCATCTTAAATGCAAATATTATGCCAATTGGCAAGCATTTAAGCCATTCATGGCATTCAAGCTTAGCTTTTTTTTCTTCTTCATTATACTATAAATTTACAAATATAAAACTGATTTGGCTTAATGTTCACTGCTATTATAATGTGTTTGAGCGGCACTAATTATAATTAACTTGAAATCTAATATTTTGATATAAAGGGAAAACGATTAAAAACAAAACCAAATAACAGAATTTTGCACCTGACTTTTGATAGGTTTCCCTCAAGATTTGTGCAAAGAACTGGAACTACGTTCTGAAAATAACAAAGATAGTGTTACACATCCCAATGAAATAATAGAAATTCTACATCATTTACCTGATAGACAAACGACAGAGCAATTATAGGAACACTCCGCGGAACGGCCTCAACATTAGCCCGAAGAAGAGAATTCCATTGCAGGTCACCGCTTGCTACTCCCTATATGTAAACTTCGCTATTTAGTACTGAAAAAGTGTTGTTGCTTTTTGGTTACAAAATACTCATATAAACCTATGCAGTTCTACATTGTTATTGTAAGAAAACCACTAGATTTAAAAACATTGTCAATCTAAAAATCACTAAATTAGGCAGATGTGTTTTTATTAAATTTTTATGCCCTCTTGATTGAGGTTAATAATTTCTTTTATTTTCTTCTTCTTGTATGTCTAATATACTGTTAGACTGGTCCTGGAGGGACGGGTCTAGTTGGTCTAGAAGGGATGGGTCAAATTTTACACTAGGCGCAAGCCTGGTCTGTCTCAGGCTTTGTCCGCCCCCTTGGGGTAGGGTCCACACCATAATGAAGAGAGAGGGGCGGTTGGGAGGGAAATTAGAATTGAAGGGCTGTTTGGGAATTTTTCTTTAGTTTCTATGCTTTTAATATATTGTTCAACCTAGGGTTAGGGTTATGTTATGTTCTTATTGAATTAAGTTTTTCATAGGAGAGAAAGGAACTCTAGTGGGCGGCTAGCATTTGGGAGAGCCGAATCTTCCTCTACAATTGAAGATCCATTGTATCTTGTTTGTTTCTTCTTCTTATCATCAATTAAAAAATTTCTCTTGTGTGATTCCACCTAGATCTTCCTTGTTTACTATTTTGGGCCTGTTGAAATTCAATTTATGCCAAGGTTTTCTTCTATTTCAAGAATCGTTTCCTATCAAATTGGTATCAGATCACCTTCTTAGGCAGAAAAACAAGGTGTCTTCGTTGATTTTTGCTATTGGAACCTAGATCCAAGTTAATGGCAGCAAAGAAGATAGATGCGTTAGAAGGTGAGATAGAACAACGCAAGACCGGAGTAGAGGAAAAATAATCCGGGGTGGAGGGAAGACTCTCAACCATCGAGAATCGCTTTAGAAACTTTGAAGATATTATGAAAAAGATGCTTAAGATTGAGTCGAAATCTTTACTGGTGATTCCTAGGGTTGAACTGATGGGAAGGAAATTCAAGGGGACAATGATGAAGCGGAAAGTGTTTTCCAACAAGGACCGCCACGAGGGACTTTGTTGGTGAGAGGATCGATATATTCCGAAGGTAGGACAACAAGGAGGAGGGAGGCTGAACCCTTTGGGAGGAGACTACCCGGGCATGGAGAGAGGTGGATAGGAGGAAATCATGGTTGGGCAGAGCCATGGGGTCCAACTCAACCAAGGGAGGAAGTGAGGGAATCAAAACCACTACTACACGGGAGGAACCAACGTAGGGAGAAAGCATTAGGATATGGATGCAAGATCGAGAAAGCTAAAGATGTCGATCTTTGAAGGGGAAGATGCTCAGGGTTGGGTCTGCTGGGCGGAGCGTTACTTTGCTATCAATGGGCTGATGAAAGAGGAAAAACTCATGGCAGCGTGCCTATGCTTTGTGGGAAAAGCCCTAGCTTCGTTTCAGTGGAGGGAGGCTCGATATCAGATCTATTTATGGGGAAAATTTAAGGAGTGTTTGTTATAATATTTCCGAGTCATTTGGGAAGGAGACCTCTGAGAACAGTTATAAGCCTTAACTCAAGAAGGAGCAGTCATAGAGTATAGGGAGAATTTGAACTGCTGTTGAGAAGACTGAGAAGAATTTCTGCAGAAGAGTTGGAAGGGAATTTCCTGAAGGGGCTTAGGGAGGAAATACGAGCAGAGCTCAGGGTTCTGAGACCTAGAGGGCTTAGAGAGATGATGGAGCTTGCTCAGAGGGTGGTGGAGGAAAAATATCGTAGGGAGAAGATCAGCAGGAGCAACATCACGAGAAAAGCTTACAGGAGCACCTCTACAACCCTAGCACCGAGAACTCAGACATTGTCATTTTAGAGGGAAGCACCGAAGGAGAAGGCACAAGAGTTCGCCTTGGAGACAACTTCAAGCGCCTTATAAAAGCGGAGGCGCAAGATGGACGGGCAAAAGAGTTATGTTTTAGAGGTGATCATGGGAGAAGGAAGGCTCTCCAAAGCCATGGTATCTCTCAAAACCATGGTAAGGGTTATACAGGAAGTGGATAATGATTTTTTATGGAGCTACATAGTTTAGAGGAGATCAAATGAGAGGAAGAGAGGGGGGAGGGGATTCCCTCTTTCAGTATAGACGGTTACATAGCAGTTTAGTGAGGCTTTTTCAGCCACCTTAGGGGTTGCCACCACCAAGGGGACTTCAAATATGCCTTTAGATTCGTGTTTGATCAAGACGATTTTCGATGATGTATCACTTCTAATATATGCCTTTATCAGAACCACAATGGCACACTGGGATTCTAAGTGCATTCATACAAATGTTTATCATCATTATTCATTAGACTTATCCAAATTATTTGGGGACTACTTTATGATTCTACTTACATAATTTTGCGGTACAAATATAACTGTATTCTCTCCTAAAAACCAAACAAGTTATTGTCTTATTGACCTACCAAGATGAAATGCAAATATTAGCTCCTACATAAACTTTAAGGAAATAAGAACCATTTCAAAATATTTTGTCCTTGAAATTTTAAAGCTCTTTCTCATCTCAGATTTAGAAACCACCATTCCACTAGATATTGCGTTTCACGGACACATTCATCTTAAATGCAAATATTATGCCAATTGGCAAGCATTTAAGCCATTCATGGCATTCAAGCTTAGCTTTTTTTTCTTCTTCATTATACTATAAATTTACAAATATAAAACTGATTTGATTTAATGGTCACTTCTATTATAATGTGTTTGAGCGGCACTAATTATAATTAACTTGAAATCTAATATTTTCATATAAAGGGAAAAGGATTAAAAACAAAACCAAATAACAGAATTTTGCACCTGACTTTTGATAGGTTTCCCTCAAGATTTGTGCAAAGAACTGGAACTACGTTCTGAAAATAACAAAGATAGTGTTACACATACCCAATAAAAGAACAAAAATGCTACATCATTTACCTGATAGACAAACGACAGAGCAATTATAGGAACACTTCGTGGAACGGCCTCAACATTAGCCCGAAGAAGAGAATTCCATTGCAGGTCACCGCTTGCTACTCCCTATATGTAAATTTCACTATTTAGTCCTAAAAAAGTTTCCTTATTTTTTGGTTACAAAATACTCATATAAACTTATGCAGTTCTACATTGTTATTGTAAGAAAATTACTAGATTAGGGAGATGTGTTTTTATTACATTTTCATGCATCTTAATTGAGGATAATAATCTTTTTTATTTCCTTTCTTCTATCTAGTATACTATTAGACCGGTCACGAGGGACCGGCCATATTTTACTCCAAGCGCAAGCCTGGTTCGTCCCAGGCTTTGTCGACCCCCTTGGGGTGGGGTCCACGCCATAATGAAGAAAGTGTAGAGGGCGGTTGGGAGGGAAATTTAAATTGAAGGATTGTTTAGGAATTGGTTTGTATGCTTTTAATAGATTGTTCACCCACGGTTAGAGTCATATTATGTTTTTGTTGAATTAAGCTGAAAGGGACTCTAGTGGGCGGCTAGGGTTTCGGAGAGCCGGATTCTTCCTCTCCAATTGATGATCCATTGTATCTTACTTGTTTCTTCTATCATCAATTAAAAAATTTCTCATGTGATTCCACCTATATCTTCCTTGCTTACTATTTTGGGGTTGTTGAAATTCAATTTCAGCCTAGGTTTTCTTCTATGTCAAGAAGCATTTCCTATCAAATTTGTATCAAATCACCTTCTTAGGAAGAAAAACAAGTTGTCTACGCTGATTTTTGCTGTTGGAACCTAGATCCAAGTTAATGGCAGCAAAGAAGATAGATGCATTGGAAGGCGAGATAGAACAACGCAAGGCCGGAGTAGAGGAAAAATAATTCGGGGTGGAGGGAAGACTCTCAGCCATCGAGAATCGCTTTAGAAACTTGGAAGATATTATGAAAAAGATGCTTATGATGCAGTCGACAGCTTTACTGGTGATTCCTAGGGATGAACTAAGGGGAAAGGAAATTCAGGAGGACGGTGATGAAGTGGAGAGTGTTTTCCATCAAGGACCGCCACGGGGGGGCTTTATTGGTGAGTGGATCGGGGTATTCCGAAGGTAGGACAGCAAGGAGGGAGGACGAACCCTTTGGGAGACTACCCAAGCATGGAGAGAGGTGGATAGGAGGAAGTCATGATTGGGCGGAGCCATGGGGTCCAACTCAACCACGGGAGGAAGCGAGGGAGTCACACCACTACTACATGGGAGGAACCCACGGAGGGAGAAACCATTGGGATATGGATGCAAGATCAAGGAAGCTAAAGATGTTGATCTTTGAAGGGGAAGATGCTCAGGGTTGGGTGTACCGGGCGGAGCGTTACTTTGCTATCAATAGGCTGACGGAAGAGGAAAAACTAATGGCAGCGTGCCTATGCTCGGAGGGAAAAGCCCTAGCTTGGTTTCAGTAGAGGAAGGCTCAATATCAGATTTATTCATGGGAAAAATTTAAGGAGTGTTTGTTAGAATGTTTTCGAGCCATTAAGGAAGGAGACCTCCACAAACAGTTATATGCCCTAACTCAAGACGGGACAGTCATGGAGTATCGAGAGAATTTGAATTGCTGTCAAGAAGACTGAGAGAATTTTCGAGGAAGAGTTGGAAGGGAATTTCATGAAGGGGCTTAGGGAGGACATACGAGCAGAGCTCAGGGTACTGAGACCTAGAGGGCTTAGAAAGATGATGGAGCTTGCTCGGTGGGTGGAGGAAAAATATCGCTGGGAGAAGGCCAACAGGAGCAACATCATGGGAAGAGCTTACAGGAGCACCTTTACAACCCTAGCACCGAGAACCCAGCATTATCATTTTAGAGGGAAGCACCGAAGGAAAAAGGTACGGGAGTTCGCCCTGGAGACAACTTCAAGTGCCTTATCGAAGCGGAGGTGCAAGATAAATGGGCAAAAGAGTTATATTTTAGATGTGATGAAAGGTATACACCAGGGCACAAGTTTAAGGACCAAACTCTTTAGATTCTCACCGTTTGTGATGATAAGAGGCATCAGTGGATGAGGAAAAGCTGCATTTAGACATGACAAAGGTCTCCTTAAACTTAGTGGTGAGATTCACTCCTAAACACACCAAGAAAGTGAGAGGAGAAATAACAGACAGGGAGGTAGTAGTGCTAATAGACAGTGGGGCTACCCACAGTTTCATCTCCAACTAGGTCATAGACCAATTGGGGGTGAAACTGATGGATATAGGGTGTTATGGGGTAATGATGGGAACTGGGAAGATGGAGACAGGTAGAGGAGTGTAAGGGGGTGGTTCTGACCATACAAGTGTAAGAGAGGACTTCCTCCCATTGGAGCTAGGAAGCACTGATGTCACCTTAAGGATGAGATTGTTGTAGATCTTGGGGGATACTAAGGTCAATTGAGGAGCACTAACGATGGAACTGCTGGTGGAAGAAAAAAGAGTGGTGATCATGGGAGATGCAAGGCTCTCTAAAGCCATGGTCTCTCTCAAAACCATGGTAAGACTCATACAGAAGGTGGGAGGAGGATTTTTTATGGAGCTACAGAGTTTAGAAGAGGTCAGAGGAGAGGAAAGGGGGAAATCCCTCTTTCAGTATAGCCGATTACACAACAGTTTAGTGAGATTTTTTCAGCCACCTCAGGGGTTGCCACCACCAAGGGGGCATGAGCACACCATCACTTTGAGAGAGGTGGTGTCACGGATTAGTGTGAGGCCGTATCGCTATACCCTCATATCCAGAAGGATAAGATTGAGAAGCTGATCCGAGAGAAGTTGAAGGTAGGGATCATCAAGTCGAGCGTGAGCCATTTTTCTAACATAGATTTACTGGTCAAGAAGAATGATGGAAGCTAGAGATTTTATATTTACTACTAGGCCCTGAATAAAGAGACTTTACCAAACAAATTTTCTATTCCGGTGATAGATGAATTGCTAGATGAGCTTTGTGGAACAATGGTATTCACGAAGGTGGACCTAAAGTTTGAATACCATCATATTCGGATGAGAGAGGAGGATGTTCCAAAGAAGGTATTCAGGACACACAAGGGATACTATGAGTTCTCAGTGATGTCGTTTGGTCTCACCAACGTCCCTGCTACCTTGCAGTCCCTCATGAACAAGGTGTTCTGACCATACCTCAGGAAGTTCATTCTAATTTTCTTTGATGACATCCTGGTGTACAGCCGGTCCAGGGAGGAGCATTTGGAGCATCTAAGGGTGTTCTTAGAGGTGTTATAGAAGCATCAGCTGATGGCCAATCTGAAGAAGTGTTGTTTTGCACAGGCCAGTGTGGAGTAGTTGGGGCACATGGTATCCTAGGAGTGGGTGGTTGCTAATCAAGCAAAGATTGAGGCAATGTTGAAATGGCCTCTATCTAAGAACTTGAGGGAGCTGGGGGCTTTCTTAGGATTGATTGGGTACTATAAAAAATTCGTAAGGGGATATAGCACCATAGTCTGGCCACTGACAGAACAGCTGAAGAATGATAGCTTCTTGTGAGGAGAGGTAGCTACCTAGGCTGTCACGACCCGACCCGGCAAGCCCGAATTAATGGGGCGAAAACAAACAGTCGTACGTAAAACACATATAACATTTAAATCATAACAATTCCATTATCATTTAATAAAAGGACATAAACTTAATCATCATTCATACAAAGTAAGAATGAGTCACTAAAACATCAAATTGAAAGTTTTCCAATAATTTCTTCTAAAGCACAACCACTAAAAACATAAACATAAATATATATATAAACTCCAATAGACTCTTTATTATAATCCACTAACTCATACATATAATAAAAATATAAAACCTTTCTTCCTGAGGCCCTCTACGACGGTAGATGTATTGTCGTCTCGTTGCCATTACTTCATTGATGGTTCTCCTGAAAAAGAATCTCACAATCAGGGGTGAGCTTACTTGCTCAGCAGATAATTCACATTTCTCATAAAAAATTGCATAAAACCACAATAAAACATCTTTTCATATGAAAACTTCAAACGACGGTCAATATTGCATAATTTTAAAACCTTTCTGTATAAGAAGCATTTTCATAATCTTTCCTCGAACATAAACTTTCATATAACTTTTTCTCAAACATAAACTTTCATTTTGCATAAAATATATATATGAATCATAATATGCATAATATTTACTATAACATCTGTCTCGGAGGTGCCCATAAAGTTTGTACTGATCAGGTATACATTTTCATTATTTGGCCATTCCTTTATCATTGGCTCTAATGAGCCCCTTTATCATTTGGCTCTGTCAAGCCCTTTACCATTTGGGCACTCCGCATCAACATGTATAGTTTCATATCTATTTTTTAGTCAATCATATGCTTAATGAAAAACAATCATGTTTCATAAATCATTTCTTTAAAATATAAAAATCACGAATTAAACCATAACATGAAAGTTCACTAACATCTAGAAATAAAGATATTCTACTAACATGATATTTGCAAAACATAATTCATAAACCATATAAATTTTAAAAACTCTCAAGATTTGCATTGAATAAAACAAAAGCAAAGCAATATACATGAAATTTTTACAATAGATATGAATACCTACCTTAGCACAAGCACGACACGTTTTCAGTGTCGCTTTGACATGCTTCGCTCCCCTTAATGATCACAACCTAATAATCACATAAAAGGAAGTGTAAATCTATAATTCTTCCTTAAAGTTTTAATAAAAAATCCAAATTGTCTAAACTCTTCGCTTCTCATTATTCGTTCCTTATTACACCTAATCAAATTAAAATAATTTAATTTGAATTTTTAGATTTATTAAAATCCCTAATTTTTAATAATTACCTTAATTATTTTCGGATTTATTTAATTAAAAAATTACAAAAAATAGAATTTTTACTAAAAACCTATATTTTTATCATTAAAACACTTATAATATCATAAGAAATAAAAATTATAAATGAGTTTGCTTAAAAATCATAAAGTAGGAGAAATCCTAATTTTCAAAACTCAAAATAATTTGAGGAAATTTCGTTTCTATCGTTAAATCATCTCCCTAAACATTCCCTAATGATTTCATAAAGAAATTTTGAA